CTCTCTCTCTCTCTCTCTCTCTCTCTCTCTCTCTCTCTCTCTCTCTCTCTCTCTCTCTCTCTCTCTTTTTTTTGTGTGTGTGCATTTGTGTTTTGCTGGTGATGGGTGCATGAGTGGTTGTCTGTGCATGTGTGTATTGGGTAATGTTGGGGAAGAGGTGTGGATGGTTAGGTCAGTGTGTTTTTGCAAGTGCGAAAGTAGTTCAATACCATCGACAATGGACATCTGCAGTGTAGTCAGATACGTCTTTTACGTTGTTTCCCCATTGCATCATTTGCATGTGCATGTCTGTGTGTATTTTCTTGGTTCATTAGAAAGTTCAGTAGTGCTCAGCATTTGAATTTTGAGATGATTTTTTTTTTTTAGCACACAGCTTTCATAACAACTTCCATTAACATTCATGAGAAGTTGAGAACATAGGAGGATGGGGTCCCGATGATTCTACGTGCAATCAGACTCGCTGTCACTTCCACTTCACACACATGCAAACAGATGGAGATTCACACCGGCGCAGGGCGCCCACTCAAAGATACGGAAATCAAGAACACAGTTCAGATGCAAGTTCAGTTCAACAGGATATGGCGCATCGGCGCCTGAACGTCCCAACCTTCGTCACTGTGTCCAACCCCACTGTTCACACATGCTCACTCTGGATCACCCTGAATACCACCACATACACACACTTAATCCCACTTCCTCCTACAGCGGCTATGACCGCACTACCACTACTGGCTATGGCTACGATCTCCCTTCAGCCCACTTCGTCTTCGGGCAACCTGCAGACCACCTTCGCACAAGACGCTGTAGCAGTGCTTCCGCATGCCTTACGCAGCGAATGAATGAATGGCTGGGCGCTGCCTCTTGATTTATACTTCTGTAACTCGTTGGTCTGCCCCTCTCCACCAGGCCAATGGTGCGCACAGTCCCTCATGGTACTTGCTTGACTGGACTGGGACTGACTGGACCGGTACCACTGACTGCATGGGTTTGCACTGCCAACTCAATGCAGTCGCACTGCCGACGTAATGCAGCTGGCCTCACCACTTGCCCACTTGCCTCTGACTAAAACGTGAGGCAGCTTCGAAAGGCCACTTCCGGACCTTCCGGAAGTCCGTGGACTTGGCCTTTCGAGTACTGTAGCAGCTACGACCTTGACCTTTCAGGACTGCAGCAGCTACGACCTTGACCTTTCAGGATTCCTACAGCTACGACCTCTGCAGGGCTGTGACTCCTACTTGACAGATCTACAGATCGAACCCGTACCATTACACAGACCTACGACAGACAACAAAAACTCTCAAAACACAGGTCACGGGTTCAAACACTCGGGGTCGACACAGATACTGTACACAGGTAAAGTGAGGACTAGGGATTGAGCCCTGGGACCTGCATCCGCTACTGCTAACAGGTGAATACCGTTTCATACGCGGAGGTTCTTAGAGTGTTACTGAACTTTGCTCTTATTATCTTTTTGCAATCTTCTTTCGCTACACACTATATTTGAATTTTGAAATGATTATCAAGGAAACTTGAATTCCTTGTTGCAACTTAATCATGTTCCAATTTCTCACTATCATAGAAAGCCGAAAGTACGAGGGACACGTGCTCATGTTGAACGATGGGCACTGCTTTGGTAGAATAACTGGCATCACCAACTGGCCTAGCTCAGTTGGTACTGGCGTGAACTGTTAAAATACAGAGCCAAGTTCGAATTCAGATGCAATCAGATGCACAGAATCAAATATATTCTGAGAAACGGCGGTGTAGAACTGCGCTAGATTTAGCGCTAATCTGGCGCACCGAACCTCGCACAAATGACTTAGGGTTTGGAATTGCGCGGCTGGGTGCTGCGCGCTTTTTCTTTTCCTTTCTTTTCTTTTCTTTTCTTTTCGTTTCAATTTTCGGAACGTGCTGACAAGGGAATAAACGTCAAACCACAATTTTCCGAACGGAAGTTGACTGCCACGTGGAGGTCAACGCCATCTCGCTGGATTGAAGAAGCTGTCCTAGGGAATGATGGAAGAAGAGGAAGATGGTGAAAGTGGTCAGTTGAGGAGTGGAGACGCAAGGATCGAAAGCGTGATGAGTGACAACGAGGAATATAGGAAGGGGGAGAGGGGAGGTGGGAGCTTGACAGGAAGCACAGGATAGGGAAATCGAGGGTGTAGGATAGGGGTGGGGTGTTGGTATGGGTAGGTGATGGCGGAACTAGAATGGAATAGAGACTGGGGGGGTTGATGGTGGATGGTATCCACACAGGCGGAGGAAGAGTACGCTCTAGAGCTCCTCCTGGTGTATCGAGGGTCAAACAGCACGGTGGTTTGCCAAACGACCCAGTGGTCCGGCAGAATTCGCGGATAAGTGAGGAAGTCTTCATTGGAACGCTCAGTAAGGGAGCTTCAGGTAAGCGTGGGGGAAGAATTGGCTGGTGGAAGCCACGAGAGGTGTGAACTACTATGGGGAAGAGGGGGGAGCGAATATGGGATTGCAACAGGAGCGGTGGCGCCTTATGCAAATCTTGTGTAAGGCATATTTACTCCACCGATCGATTGAAGGAACTGCGTTGGTGGAATATGCGACAATCAATGGTGTCTGTATGACTAGGCCTGTGAATGAACTTATGTATCTGCAAAGTACGTACGTGAGGGCACATATGCTGGCATGCGTATTGCCGGTGGGGGTGAGTGGTTGGTTGCGTATGACCAAACGGGAATGGGTGCGCCACGTGGAGGAAGCATGGACATTGGGCAGGGGCCCGGTGCGAGGAGAGATCGATACGGAGGGGGATACAATGGTCACATATCTGGTACCCTCCGTTGACCTGAGAGATTGGTGGTGAACGAAAGACAAGGGGAGGAGATTCAGTCAGCCGGGGCTCGGGGGGTGGTAAGATTAATTTCGTGGAAGCTACTGGTGGAAATGTATGTGGAAAGGTTGGCTGAGCGGAAGCGGTGGCCATGGGTCAAGGACTCAAAAGGTCTATAAGCCGTCACCCCTGGTAGCCATGTGGATGCGGGGGGCGGTGGAGCATTTCTATGGCCCCATTGCGGACGAATAGCTGTTCGATGATAATGAGCAGGAATATATAACGTATGTAATAGATGGCCCGCTGAAAAAACCCTTCAAAAGTATTATGGCCGTTGCGACAGGGCCATACAGTTTCGAGGAGATCAGGGTGATCACAAGCGAGACCCCTTTTCGTGAGGTCTGTTTTATGCACGGCCATCTCAACATGCACGGCCGTTGTCTCACGCAAGCTGAAACCCTGCAGGAACTCCAAGGTGTGAAATGGACCCAATACTGCAATAAAACCCGGAGGTGGAGCGAATGGCATGGCGAGAACTGGAACTTCGAATGGATGGGATGATACTGCAGGAGGTGGGGGTGATGGGTCACGAATTGGAGGAGGCATGCAGGGGGAGGGAGGCAGGACAGCAATGTAGAAGGAGAGTAAAGAAACCCGGGGGGTATCGACGTAACGTTCATTGGATGGGAAGTGGAGACGATCCCATGCGAACTGATGAACCATATTGGTTGTTTGGGAACGGACGGAAAAGGAAGGCAGAACAATCTACGAAGGAAGAGAGGGAGGTCCAAGATGCCGGGGGCAGAACAGCAACCTCGAGAAGTGGGAACTGAGAAGGAAGCGGGCCAGGCGGAGCCCGACAAAGTATTGGATCAGCTGCCTGGTGAGCAGCGGGTAACGGTGGCGGAACGGACACAAGAGCAAGGGGAGGAAGAGGAGGGAGGTAAGGGAGATCGAACTAGCAGTCAGCAGTGGAGGCAAGTGGGGAAAGAGAGTGATGAGGGGGCAAGAAAGAAAGAGGGAGAAGGGGAAACGGTGCAAGGGGGGGAGGAGAATAGGGAAGATAAAACGGCCAACCTGGGGAGCGGCTTGAACAAAGGAGGCGAGAATGAGAATTGTGGACAGGACAGGAGGGAAGATAGAACAGAATCATTGAAGCAAAGCTGGATGTTGAGGATCGGACATGGCCAAGGATGGCCAGGTGAGTGGAAAGGAAACGAGAACCGGGTGGGGACGGACCATGAAAGGGGTGGGTCAGGAATACAGGAAGAGGGGATGGTGATAGGAAAGGAAGAGGTAGCCTCGGGAGAGTCTGGAACACGCCAAGCCCCGTATAGGCCGGAGTATGATATGCCCATCGTAACAGAGAAGGATAAACAGAGCTGGCCATGGGGGGGAGCCGGACGAAGAATTAAACAGTTGACAAAGGGTTCATCTAAGAGCTCCTCGTCAGCAGAATGTTTTCTGGCCCGGACCTTTTCATCAACAACCGCAGAGTTATCTGCGCGAAGGTCACATCGTCAGAGGAACCTGCAGGAGAGGGAACGATTCCCTTTGGGAACAGTGGGATATGAGCCGAGGTATTGGCTTTGAGGAAAGACACGCAGGGATGTTTCAGCGGCACAGTCATCCTCAGTATCTCCTATCCCCAGGGAGGTGAGCTATGGGATGCTAGTAGAGGGGCTAACAGCGACGGTCAGCAGTTATGGGAAGGAAATGGACTCAGATACCGCTGACACTTCGGACACCGACACCCCAGGTGACAGCCAAGGGGTGATGCAACAGCCAGAGGAACACGAGGAAGGAGGGATAGGGGAGCTGGAGGAGGAGCAGCGAAGGAATCGAAGGGAAGCTTCGCTGGATAGTGATCTGCTACAAGTCACCAACTCCAGAACGGGAGATGGCCTAGGAGAAGAGCCAAGCGAAACAGATGGGGAAGGTGTCTCAACTCAAGAAGATAAGACGGGAACGGAGGACGGTCCTGCAGAGGAAAGGGTACGTTGGTATAACTGGTATGACAAGAGCGGGCGGAGACGGGATTGAAAGGTATATTACAAGAGGGGGAATGTTGTCTGTCCTGTCACCTTGTGGAAACGGAGGAGGGGATCAGGATTTTGATCGATGGGCCAGCAGAGGTGCCAGTTTTCAGTGTGAACAAGCTCCCACAAGAACAGCTTGTGCTTCAAAAGGTGGCACAGTGGGTTGGATCTAAATACGAGGTGATGGTGCTGCCTGCTATCTCAGCTACAAGATTCATTCGCCGAACATCTGAAGAGAAAGAATATGTGGTGATCATCTACTTCATGGAAGTCCTCTTGGAGAAACCGGGGACACCGAGGCTGCGCTGTAGAAGCATGCAATGGCTTGACTTTGTACAAGTCCGAAGCCCAGCAGCAATCCCGACAGATTATCACATTATACATATGTCCTCCTTGGCCATCCTGAACAGCATGAATCCGCCCTTGTCACGAGAAGCTCGTGTGGGAGGCACACAGTTCCTGGAGGGGACAGGGATTTGGGCGAGGGGAGCATGGATAGTATAAGGATATATTATCCCGTAGGGTGTCACAGGATGTGTGACACCACAGGATGTGTGACACCCCCCCAGCAACGCAAAAGATTAGGACATTAGAACCCATAGGTAAGAGAGACTTGTAGGTGGAAGGAGGGGTGATGAGGGGGACTAGACATTGGAATCGGCTGAAAGTAATGACATCGAATGTCAGGGGCATGGGGAAGTGATCGCTATTGGCTAAGCGGAAGGAGTTGGCAGCGAAAGTTAAAGCTGAACAGATCAATGTGGTCGCCTTCAGGAGACCAAGTTGGATGAGAGCAAGATAGCTGAACCGGCGCTCCGGTGGAGGGGCCATCAAGTATGGGTCCCGCCACAAGGCACTAAAAGGGGAGTGTGCATCTTGATCTCCCCTCACTTTAGGGGAGAGGTGTGGGATTGGTACTTCGACTCAAGGGGCCGGTGGGCATGGGTGATATTGCAATGGGGGAACGAAGTTTTGGGGCTCGTTACAGTATATGGTCCATCAGAAATTGGGGCAAGAAGAAGAATGTGGGAACAGTTGCAGAACCTGGTGCCTGAAGTGGATAAGGTTATCATAGCTGGTGACTTCAACTTGGTCGCCGATCCGGTGATGGACTTCGCCAGACCAAGGCATGCAGAAGCAGACTCGATGGCACTTATTAACGGAATGACAGGGCTGGGTTGCACAGACTCGTATCGGACCTTATACCCGCAAGGCAGGGCCTTCACATTCTGGGGAAACACGATGACCAGGAGGAGCAGAATAGATATGATTTAGTTTACTCATTCATTGAATGATAGGTAACTACTATAGATGGTGATATACGATTCAGATGTCGAAAAATCCAATAGTTCAGTGGGCATCGATGGATCTTAATGAAGTGACCGAGCAGGCCCATATAAGCCTGATCACCACATCGGATCATTTGGCGGTGATAGTGAGCTACCCGGTTGGAGATGGGCTGCCCCCCGAAGGCAATTCCGGCATGGGTCTTTAAAAGTACAGAGTATCAGCCTGTGGTGGCCCAATTATGGGAAGAATGGGTGAAAGACTGCCCGCAGGATAACCTGCTCGCCCACATTGCGTCGGCAATCCAGGACTTGCGAGGGACACTGGCGAAGCAGCTGTATGACGGCTACTTGGCGCACCAACGACAGGGAGGAGTTCTCCCACAGGCTGGAAGAACTGAATGGGGGTTCGACAGGAGAGCAAACAAACGACGAATGGTGGGTTGAGCGGGTGGAGGCGGCTCGAGGCTGGAGGGAATGGCAGCGGGAGGAGGCTATCAATTGGGGAAGGCAAACCAAGGAGTTGTGGATTGTGGTAGGGAAACGCATGTCGAGGAAATTTTTTGACATGGCTGGTGCACGAAAGGCCACGGCGTTGATGACAGCCATGGACCACCCCTTCGATGAGAATCAGCCAAGGCAACGCACTACGAGGGGGATTTTGAAGTGTGTCATCGATTTTTGTCGCGGCCTGTTAACGGAAGAGGAACGATGTGCACCAGAGGACATGGCAAAACATCCAGAAGAAGACAATGTGGAGACATGTCCAAAGCCGGTTGGACCTGGAGAGTACCTGCAAGCTTGAAGAGGATATTAAGGAGGATGAAGTGGAGGCAGCGATTGCAGATCTGCCGCCTGGTCATTGTCGCTGCATCTGGACTGAAAAATGCCCGAAATACAGCTATAATGACCGGATGGGTGATGACGGTAGGCTGGGGTTGGATGGCATGCCGATGGAGCTAAGACTTTCGCAAGTTCTTTGTGGTTTTGCTGACGGCGGCTTATAATGAAGCACTTAAATGCAGATCCTTTCCGCTAGGCTTCGCAGATCCGCAGATGCGGATGTAGTGTTGCTCTATAAAAAAGGGGAGAAGGAAGACGTGCAAAACTGGCGGCCGATATCCATTCTTAATGCGCTATACAAAATCATGGCTAAACTAATGGCAACCCGCTTGAAGGACATAGTGCCATGTATTATTAACCCTGCTCAGACAGGTTTTGTATTGGGCCGTCAGATCCTGACTAATGTGCTTCTGGCGCAGCAGATTCTGGGGGAGGAACAGTGTACCGGGAGCGCTGTCGCCTTTACTTCTATAGACTTGGAGAAAGCATATGACCAGGTCCGCTGGGAGTTCCTCCTGCAGGGGATGGCGCGTAGGGGGATAGGAGGTATCTTCTGTGGATGGGTGAGAAGTATGCTAAAAGGAGCAACAACGGTGATGCAAGTTAATGGGGTAAGGTCAGACAAATTGAAGATTACCAGGTCAGTTAGACAAGGATGTCCGCTTTCCCCGGCCCTCTACGTCATCCGTATCGAGTCCATGCACAATATATCAAGGGCAGACGACCGGCGGATCGCCTTGAAGGCAGGCCCTGTAAAGGAGATCAAATCTACTGCTTTCGCAGATGACTCGGGTGCAGTGATCCTCCCGACAGCCCAGCAGCTGGCTATCCTCAAGGAAGGTTTGCAGACCATCTGCACATACTCGGGGGCACGGGTGAATTGGCACAAATCGAAGGCCATCCTCCCTCGCCCGCCAGAAGGATGGGGTATTCCCACAGAGGCAGAGGGGGAACAAATGGCATTCTGGGAGCAAATCTCACGCCAAGTTTTGGAGGGGTAGAGCAGATGGCGATCCGGGCAACGGCAGGCGTGGAGCAGAAGAGGAAGTATGGGACCCTTGGGCAAGGCCCTGATTATTAAGAACTTCGTGTTGTCCACTTTATGGTATGCTGGTGCCGTCCACATGCCGGGCAAACACACTTTCAGGTACATCAGGAAGGCGGTGCAGGCGCACTTATGGTCAAACAATGCGTATGCGGAGAACTCTATATGTAGGGTGGCCTGGAATAAAAGCTTATTCAGCTAAGGCGGTTTGGGGGATTGGGCCTTCTGGACCCGCAGAAGCAAATGATTGCCCTGCAGATGCGCCAGCTGCTCTGGCACCTGCTGGCCATGGTGGGGAGGGGGGCTGGCAAGAAGTTGCCTGGACCCACCTGGCGTATGCACTTCAGGTGCCCAGAGAACTGGTGGGCCTGTACTCGATTAGTAATACGGCAATGGGCCATATCCGCAGGGACACGGTTTGGTCCACCAAACTAGCGCTGTGGAAAAAAGCACGGCGGAGATGTCGAATGCCGGAAACTGCAGACGCTGCTTTCAACAAGTTACTGTTCAACAACCGGTTTATATGTGCTGCAATTGGAGACCCTTTTCCGTGGCATGGCCCGCGAGGTGTATATGGGTGGAAGTGGGCGGAGCAAGGAATTTATAAGGTGGGACATCTTTGGGACGGAGATTAGAAGGATTGGCGTCCGGATGAGGAGATGGTGGAACTGCTGCACGGATGGATGAGAAGGAGGCTAAGGGTTCGAGAATTGGGGGAGGCTATCCCCCCCAGTGGGCTGGGGAATGGGTGAAGTGGAGGGGAGTCTCGAGACCAGACAGTTTACAGGGTGGAACATGTATTGCCAGATGATAAACTGGAAGTAACGGGATGGTTAGTCAATTCGGGCTATGAGGGGTTAGGGGAGCCCCTACAGGAATGCAGTGCGCAGGAGGAAGGCCCCCGGAAAAAGGTGAACAGAACCATGATGGAAACAGTGGCGGTGTGTGAAGGGGAATGGAAGGAGAAGGTCCAATATCGACCATATCGGATAGATGACCGGCGAAGGGATTTGATATGGGACTCGAGGGAGCGGCGATGGCCAGGCTAGAGAATGCAGAAGAAAGTAGTCCCGGTCCAGAGCCTCGCCACAAAAAAAAACATTTATAGAGGCGGTAGATATATGCGCAAACCTGAAGAATCAGTGGGCGAGAGGGACTGGATTCCGGACGTGTTTTTTCAACAGATGGACGCATCGTAGATGGAATGAGCAAAATGCAATCCTGGCCGCTCTACCGGACCAGAAACAGGCGGGCTTGATATGGAAGCTCTATCGTTTGGCAATCCCCACGGCACAATGGCTTGCAGCCAGGAGCCGGCATAAGGATCAGACATGTGCAGTGGGATGTGGGCAGGTGGAGACTGTTCCACATCTCTCCGTGCGATGCCCGGTTGTTCAATCATTCCTGGAATGGTGGGCGCGGGAACTGGCAGAGCATTCCCCACTGAATGTCACGGAAGAGGATGATGTGGCCATACGCCTCGGAGCCTTGATGAAAGTGAATAGATCGAGACCGGAAGATCTGGTGGCAGCGGAGACCATACGTGCAGCGGTATTGTGGACCCTGTGGACTCTGAGGAATGAGAGGTGTCGACAGGGAACATTTCCACCGCTGCAGGCTTACCAAGAAAGAGCGTTGGAAAATATTAGAACTGCTATACTGGCTGACCTGCACAGAAGCATGCGGGCAGGAGAACAGAAGGAGAAAGGTTTCTGGGCCGCATGGGAACCATACTCGCAGCTGCTCACCCAGGATCTTCAGACCGGTCGTATGCTGTTTGGCCCACTGCTGACGCGCCATGCGCCGGTAATCGACGCAGAGGAGGAATCAGATTAGGAAGATTGAACCTCATGAAAGCAGCTGATTCATATCATATTTAGACTAGGGTGGGAAAGTTAGGAGAACTACGATACAATTAGGAATTTAGGATAGAATAGATGTATTATCATAGTGTAGAGTCTGTAGACCTGTAGAAGTTAATGGTCATGAAAAGATGGGGAACTTCAGATTAGAAAAGCAAAAATATAGGTAAGAATCCGTAAGATATACAAGAATGAAAGGAAACTTCAGGAGGGGATATGACTTAGGGATAAAGATTGATAGATGGGATAGAGGATGATAAAGGAAATGCCGGGGATATGTAGATTTAATAGATACGAATAAGGAACGTCTAAATGGTGCAGGCTTGGCTTAGGCGGGGTAAGGGGGGGCTTTCTGGTGTAAATGTACATCATAGGCTGAGATGGTATATATAGCAGGATGGACAGGGAGAACGGGAAAGGTACTTCAGGAATAGCAGACTATTGGAGTAGGAAAGGAAATGGATAGGGAGGTAGTTATGGGGTGGAGATGACTTAGGCATGGAAAGATACGATCAAAGATTGGCAGGCGGCCTGAAGGACTGTGCAGAACCTCCCCCCCTCCTCCCCCCAACCCCCCGTTGCAAAACCCCTGGTGGCTGCTCTACTGCGTGTCTGGGTGCTGCTAGTAAGCCTCCGGACCAGTAGAATAGCCCCCGACGATGGATGAAGGTTGGGAGATGGGCGGTCTGTAGCAGCCCCCCCTGGTTTAGGCGTCTAGTGCCGGAAGGGCTGGGTTGTTCCCCATTGCTACATTTGTGTACAAGATGCTTGCCGGTGATAAGCAACCGTTTTGGTTAAAACCAAAAGAGAAAAAAAGATTGTCATCGTATAAATGACATGTTCATCTACAAGGACAAAAGCAAAACATTTGCCCACCCATAGGCGGTCGAATTGAACTGAAGCAATCTGGAAATATTAATGTGCAGCCGATCAGCTCAGTGGGCAGAGCACCGGCTGCATATGCGCATTGTGGCTTGAGGTTGTGGGTTCAAAACCCTGCAAGTAGCTTGGCTCACACATGGATGTTGACCGACGGACGGCTGCACACACCAATCCCTTGGGGGTAGGTGTATGGCAAGGATTACAGACACTGCCTGCACCGGGTAGCCTATGAGTAGGCTTGCCTGAGGATGTTGGCCATGGATTGCTCCTGATGATCTTGCCCAAGTATGGCATATCACACTTGGTACCATTTGAGATCGTAGCACGTACGATAGAGCACAGCTGTTAGATAATGATGAACATGGGTTCGAGTCTGACTTGGGACTTTAGTGGGTGTTTCTAGCACAGATAGACGTATCATGCACAGAATTGTACATAATGATGACGTGGGTTCGGCTTGGGACTTTTGTGGGGTTTCTAGCACAGAGAGGCATATCATGCACAGATCTGTACAACTTTTAGGCTACATGGCACTCACACACAGCCTTCGGCACATATACACGGCCTACGGCCATACACATAGCCTATGGGCACATAGAAAGCTGGTACAATTGTAATACTGATTAGCCAGGGTCTAGACGATGCCTGAATCAGGATTCTGGGGGGGGGGGCATAGGGCAGCATGGCTGTGTTCCTGTCAAGGATGGCAAAACTGTTGAGTGAGTTAGTAATACAATTGTAATACTGATGAGGCAGGATCTAGACGATGCCGTAGCAGGACTCGGGGGTTTGATAAAGCCGCGCATGGCGGTGGCCATGTGAAGGACGTAGATAGAACTGTCAACTCTACTAGCACAGAGAGCCTACGGGCACAACACACAGCCTACGGGCACAACACACAGCCTACGGGCACAATACATAGCGTTAAGAGCACAATACACAGCATACAGGCACACACATACGGCCTATGGGCACACACATACAGGCTATGGCCGTACACACAGGTAGCTACAATGCCAGGGCAGGGGGGGGGCATAGCCGGTCCTAGCTAGGGGTGTCATAGCGCTAGATCTGGGGCTTGGGGAGGCTATCAGACACAGTCACTGATATGCTCGCCAGGGGTTAGGGTAGTGGGTGGGGCTGATGGAAACGAGCCTGGCATCCGAAGTACTCCTGTGACAAGGGTCGCCCGATCATGCTTCAACCAGGGCTGGGTGGGATATCTGTTTAGCCCTAACGGCTGTCCGGTCCAATTCACCTGGCTCGTTCATCGCCCTGAGTGATTAACACTGAGGTAGGATAGGCGGAATAGGGTATGCTGGGAAAATTGACGAGAGGATGGGCAGGGAGGCGGTATCACAAGTCAAAATTGTCAGGACAACCAATGGCTGACTGATGACTGCGACCACTGTATGTCTGGAACCTGGCCTCTACAACAGCCTGGGCTTTTACGTGAAAAGAAAGAAAGAAAAGAAAAGAAGAAAAGAAAAGAAGAAAAGAAAAGAAAAAAAAAAATCTGGTATACACCACTTTCCTCGAAGAAATTCATCTGTTTTTCTTTTCAGGGCAACTCCACAAAAATGTCCCTGGTACGATCGAAACATGTTGTTAGTCAGAAAGTATTTGGATTAGACCACAGTCCAGCTTCATTCAAGATGATGTGTAGTGGAGCAAGACTCTATGCCAGTTGTCGACCACAGTCCAGCTTCATTCAAGATGATGTGTAGTGGAGCACGACTCTATGCCAGTTGTTGAGTGAGCATCAGCGATGACGACTGTCTCCGTTGTTGTTGGTGTGCTACAGTGTGCTGGCAGACTAGTTGGGGATGGCATACAATGGCGTCTGTGTGCAGTTGTTGTAGTCTTTTATATCCTTGTGATCACGTGTTCAGAGGTCAAAGTATAGTCTAGCAGAGCTTGAATCTTTTACAATTGTTTTACACCCCCCCCATATGCTCCGTTTGGTGCCTAACAAGAAGTGAAGAGAGGTTAAACCGCCAGTACATGGCCCCAGCCTTGGAGAAAGATTTTGTCGCCATAAGAAAGCCTCGGAGCAACTTTCAGGGCCGGCGTGGGCCATTAATGAAAATCATCAATGGTCAGCCTCTCATTTCGGGCCTCAAGACGCGCGTTGTCAGGCCCACAGCCTCAGGTGCCCATGTACTGTCGGTTCAAGGCCTTTCTTGCGATCATGGCAGTGTCATCTGCATCTCCTGAAGAGGAACGCATGTGTTCATGCATGTGGGTGTTGTGACGACCTGCAGGTAATCGGATTGGCAAGACTAAATGAGGTATACATTCCTAAGATAGCCGTTCAGTTGGCCAAACAGAACAGTTCTGATCAACACTGTACTGTTGTGACGCCCAACCTCACGCCGAGCTCGACTTCCTGATCGGAGTGGGATGGGGGTCCGGAAGTGCGAAAAGGGGGTGCGCCAAGGATTTTAGGAAAGTGGGGGGCGAGTCCCAGGTCAGAACTGAGATCTCATGTGGCAAGGTTTAGGGGCAGTTGTGCAAGATGGTAGGCACAAGGCACGTCTGGCTTTTACGTCGTGGAAAATGGAACTACCATCTTCGCTGGCTTCGTCGCCGGGGGCGGATTCAAATTTGGTGGACGGGCGGGACGCTATGGTTGTCGTGTTGTCTGAACAGTTGCTGGTGTCGCTCGTAGCAAGCCTCAGAATCCGACGAGGCTGGCCTCAGACGGAGGTTGTGCGTGCGCTGCTCGGCTTCGGTTCGGGTTCGTCGCATAAATCTCGTGGTTCGATGCGCGCGGTCTTGCTGGCATTCCAGGCACGGCGTGCGGGGCCAATAGCGAGCTATGGAATTCCACGGTACTACCGTGAGTTGGTGATACGGAAGAAGACTTTAGAAGGGAGGAAAATCGGTATTGATAGCGACGAAACCTGAAGATATATAATATTGGGTATTACTGGTGTTGGGATAGTTCGGGATCCTAGGATTCTTGCCTATAGCCCACTGAAAGTCCCCTTCACATAGTCGATCGTTTTCAGTTCGACAGGGATATTCAAGATTTCTCAGGTTCCCCCGCCGTCTAAGTTGTTCCCTCTCCCAGTATTCACGGTATTTCGGGTCCCTTAAGCTCTCACGATCGGTGACCCAGAAGGGCGCTTCTGTAACCGTCTCCTATTTGGCGGATACACATTTCTTATGGTGAAGCAAGGTCGGGGTCGACTCATGCAGACGTGCGCGTATGTCGCGACTCCGCTTTTTGGATCGTTGTCATACACGAGAGCGCGCATGAGCGGGAATGGCTCGCGGCTTGGCCTTCCGCATCGGCGGGCCCGTGGTGAGTGGTCTTGTTGGCGTATCGATCCTATCCCGCATGCATGCAACTACCCTTTTTTGCAAACATCATCCAACCATTACACGCATATCCATGCCATTGGTAACGGAAGAAAGAAAAAGGAGCAACCACTTCGGCGTCGAGGATCAACACATCACAACATTCGCGGGGTCACACAAGAATCAAAGGCTGGCAATCGAACAAAAACATGCACTATGAACATATCCAACCAGATCCAGAGTTATCGTGCAGCGCAGATGGATATTAGAAAGTGACGAAATTTGGATTAAGCTAACACCATTGAGCAAAACAAAATGGAAGACTCAAAAGACGACTTAAGAAGGGGTGGGAGAAGGGCGCAAGTTCATTCGACAACACACAAGGAACAGAAGATCCACGGCAATTCACTAGGGCATATGAAATGGCCACAACAAAATTGGCCAATGTTGGAATCAAAAATTGTACAGAAGGTTGGGAGAAAGACATTATTCCACGCACATCTGTCCTCTTTCTCTCCCTCTCTCTCCACACCACTCCCGATGTGGGCAGTCCGTCGCCTCGCATCAACACAGAGTTGTCACCCCGCTTGGTCCGAATATGCAAGCTAGGTTCGCCCGTGTGCCACAGTTCGTCGCGGCCCACACGGCAACCCCACATACTCAGCACCAGCTCGTCAGATCGCCCAACTCTCTCATCTACTCACCTCCCAAGTTGAGTCGTTAGTCGATCCTTACTGACCACGCTAACCTCGGTTTGCGTTCAAGTACGCAAATGATTGGAGAATCATGTATAAATGATATGATTACACCTTGCGCACCAAATTGCAACAAACCGTGCAAGCAATCTTACATCAACAAATGGAACAAAAGTTCAAAAATTCATAGAGAAGCAACTAATCGCGCTTGCAAAATTATAATATGCATGCTTGCGCGAAAAACCCGGGATTATGCCCAAGTGAGAGGAAGGGGAAGAGAAGGAAGTGCCTACATCTGCATGGCCAAGCCGCGGCGTGGGGGACGGAACCACTCTCCACTCGTCAATCTAGTCGTGCAACGTG